TAACGTTCCGGCAAGTACGCTGTATGTAGAAATAAATCAAGCAGCTCATACGCAGCTTATGGAGATGAAATTGGCGGCCAATAAAAGTAATGATGAAATTCATAATAATAAATAATAATTTCAGTTGTTACAAACGACCTTTACTGGACACACTTGTGGCTGGTTAAATCTTTAATGACATCAGGTAAATAAGGATACTAAGTTTAGGGTCATGGTTGTTTAATAGCAAGCACAGTTATGCCGCAAAGGATTTTTAACCAATAGAGAACCAGTATGGGTGTGTGGGGTGGCACCTGGGATAATAGTCGGTAATCAATGACCGGTAAGAGCCGTGTCAAATACGGGACAGTATAGAAGTTGGAAGCGACTGAACCCAACTTGTGTTATGCAGAATATAAAAATAGGAAGGGAATCAACCAGAGGGAGTAACAGTGCAGCAACATACTCACCGAAACCATCTGTGTCAGCGGAAGTGCCGTCAGTAAAACAAGTGGACGTTTTGAAGGTTAAAACAACGGTAAAATCCAATGTTGCAAAATACTGCAACGGCGTGCTTTCCGGTACACTATAGGTGCAGCATGAATAAAACTCTAGTTGTAACATGTATTAGCAATTACCTCAGATCATTAACATGGTACTTTTGGGTTAAGAAAAGTTTCAGTACAATGGTTAATATAGTGATGCGAACTATCAACAGAACATTGCAGAGCATTTCGAAACTGAATGTTATGCCTGTGTCCATGCACATGCTTAAATCATCTGCCCAAAATTTGCAAGATCTGGTAAAGTCAAAATCGGTCCAGAGATAATTAGAAAACATAAAAGTTGGCACTAAAGGTGTTGAAGATTTTTCCATTAAGCGTGAAATCTCAAGTACATGTATTGCTAACCAATGTTAATCAAATTTGTGATAAACTACAAGACTGACGGTAGGATATAGTCTACACCGGTTGGTTTCTGTAATAAGATAAAATATTTGATCCAGATATGGTAAAGTGACATGGTAATCTGCAGATAATTAAAATAGAAAGTTGCGAGACAGACCTGAGCAAATGATCATAGACCGAGTGGCCGACGTAAAAGGCTAATCAAAATGCTATTAAATGTTCTCAGTATTATCTATAACTAGATTGTGTGTTTAGGTCCATATACAAGGCATAAAAACGCATACCGTTTATAACTCCATGATTAAAAGTCAATCCATTATAAAAAGTGCTGTATTAAATACATAGACTTGGAGAAATTGGTTTTTAAAATATTTGCTTGGCACAGGTAGAACAAATTTTGCTTCAGGTGATTACGAGTCGAATTAAAAGTAAATTGATGACTTCAGGCATTTTGTTTGCCTAATTTCAAAGTAGATAATTGATTCTATATATTAGCTTGGAGAATATGAAACAGGTATGGAATGAAAATACAAAAGCGCACTTTTTAACATTATATATTATGTTCAAGCCAAATAACTTCCACTAGCATCTACGATTTTCTACCAACGATTGAGTAAGTCAGATATGCCTTCTTGCAAAAAAGCATTGTTAATGTTGATAAAATATACAATTCCTTTAGAATATCATTTTGGTTATCGAATTTTTTCTCTTAAAAGTAGTTCATACTTACGAAAAAGGTAATAATCGGTCGGTTAAATATCTGGCAATTATGAAGGAGGTGGTAAAATTGCATATTGTAGAGAAGTTAATTTGGCGACAGTCACTGAAGCTTTGTGTTATCGTGCGTTATCATGCAGTAATACTGTGCCGATCCGAGTGAAAAATGCTGGTTGATTTTCATTAGATTCTCAAGCATGATATCAATTTCATGGGAATTGGAATCCGCTGTTATGGTTTCACCAGGTTGTAGGAAGAAATAACTGATTTGGCATTCCGTCATATGGTAACCACAGTGTTTTTGATGAACTTTCGGCTTAGGAGTGTGTCCAGCCGGTGTCTCCTTATCTATCCATTTACTTGATTGTTTTTATCATAAAAATCCACTTTTCATCACAAGTGCTGATGTGGTGTAAAAACGGCAATCGTATCTTACGTAGCAACAAAGATGCGCACTTGGTCTTGCGGTCGATCATCTGCAGTTGCATCAGCTCGTTCGGTACATATGAGTCCAACTTTTTACTTTATTGCTTACTCGAAAATACATTAACACAGCCGTATGGCTAGTTCGTATTTAAAACCCAGGTTCACAAATAGTTGTGTGTGTGGATCGGATCCCACAGTTGTCCTTAATTTCTCGTTAGCAAAATGGGCCATTGATCGTCCTAGAGGCTAGTTGACGGTATTCAAGTAGCCAGAACAAAAATTTTGGAACCACTATCGAGCATTTTTTTCATTGGTGGATCCATCTCCGAATGTGTGATAAATGTTCCTCGAAGCGTGAGTTTCGAACTGATTCAATTAGAGCTTGTATAAGGAAACTAGATGTACATCGCGTCTTGTCACCATCTGGTTTCGAAGCAAATTAATAGAAAAATTGGGTTATAAACACGAAAATATCTTACGAAACAAGTAAGAAGACTACCTTTAAAAGTTGTGAATAAAATATCGAGCGCACGTTGCAATGAATTTCTCTCATTCGCAATTGAACAAAGACTTAACAAAAACGTCCGTTTCATAGTTTCCAGCCTTATATATATAATTATAAATAGAGAACAATTTCATGTTTAAATGATACTGGCGTTAATCAGATCCAATTCGCCAGCTGAGAACATATGTGAAAACACTAGGTGGCGGTTTATTCCATTTGAGGTTAAATGATAAGCCGCATTTCACTGGCTCAGTGAGAAGTGAACATTTAGTGTTTTGCAGAATGACGCCAGTTCTAGTTGAATGTTTAAATTGCCTTTGTAATACCGGTAATGAAACGTTGTGAGAGATTATGCAGTAACATAAGTCAACACCCTAGCAGATTGTTATCTGCAAAGAATAAATCTTCTGCTTGGTGCGTTGTCCGTTGCGGGATCAGTCAAGTTACCAGCACATAAATACTGTCTGATTATGCAAAGGAATGTCCAATAATTATCTAGAACCTTTTAGATTATATAATTGTGGAAAAGATTGGATGGGTCCTTTTGAAGCTCTAGTTTTGTGAATGGATTGCAAAGCGCGATTCACACTGAAGTAAAGCTTGCTCACTGCAATCAATGAGGCCCTAACCGAAGCAGTTGGAAATTGGGTGTTGTTCGTCCGAAAATACTGCACAGCACGACGCGTTTCGACGTGGGCTGATCTCATCATGTAAAGGTAGCAGAACTCGAATCCGATACCATTGGAATAAAAGACAAAACCACTGCCCCTTCGGTTACCTGGTCACAACGAGCGACGCTTGACACAACAGCGAATGACTGATTGGAGAGCCGTTTTGAAATATACGTTGTGGATGGATTGCGACTTCCAATCTCAATGTAGGCCGCGATTCACACTGAGGTGAGCCTTGGTCACTGCGATCACTGGGACCATAGCTGAAGCAGATGGAAACTGGGAGTGGCCCACCCAAAAACACTCCACAACCACGACGCGTTTCGCTCTTAATTGATCTTATCAGGTGGAGGTAGCAGGACTCCAATCCGGGACCACTGGAATGAAAGCCGTAACCTTTACCAATTAGGTTACCTGGTCACGACGAGCAACGCTTGGCATAACGGTGAATGACTGATTGGAGGGCCGTTTGAATACTATAGGTGTGAATACACTGCAATGCGTAATCGTAATGTGGACCGCCATTCGCAATGAAGTGAACCTTGGTCAATTCCGTCATTAAAATTACAACTGTGAAAGCAGATGGATATTAGGTGTTTCCCTCCCGAAGATCCTGCAACTCATCACCGGTTTCCAAATTCTTTGCTGGCATCAGGTAGAGACAACAGGCATTGAACCCTGGAGCACTGAGACGTCAGTTAAAGTCTCCACTTTTTCATCACGGCACCATGACCAGCAGCGCTTGACACAACAGTTAAAGACCAATTATTGAGTCATGGTGAAGCATGCTTTAGAAGCGTTGTCTACTGATATCCGGGAAGTTAAAAGTAGAGGGTTCCACTGATATACAGATGGCCGTTAGTTTGAGAGCAAATACTTCGAAACCGTTGGCGGAGGTAGATGTTTTAAGCAGTCTAATCACATAACGTGTAGTCCAAACTTGACCCTCCAAGTAGTCATTACCGTTGTGCCAAAAAGCGTTGCCCACCGTGACCCGGTAGCCAAAGGGGTAGTGGTGTGGGCTACCATTCCAATGGTCGCGGGATCGAGGCCTGCTTTCTCCACCTGATGAGATGGAATTACATTGAAACGCGTCGTGGTTGTGCAGTGTTTTCGGGTGGGCAACACCCGATTTCCAACACTTAGTGTGCGTTTGCTTTAGTTAAGGAAAAAATTGGTTTTGCAAAAGGTAGTGCGTTGCACCAAATACGCTGTATAGTTAGGAGTGGATACATTTATTAGCTCACCGCAATTTATTCTTCATTTGCTAGTTTCGGTAAATCTGTTATCAGACTGCAACAGTAGATTGTCAGTCAGCCTTGTTAACTCGCAGCATTCATACTTTTCCTTAGTCACTAACGTTGTTTTTGTTTGATGGAAAAAGTTATACTTTATTTCGCAAGCTACTCTCAGCCAGACTGTCAATGACTATTTTTAAAGTGCACAGAATCTCTTACTGCGTTTCAGATGTGCCAACAAAAGTTGTATATACAGATAGAGCTAAAAGCAATTGAAATGGATTAGAAATTCTTTAAATTGCGCATATCTCAAAAGCCACCTTGTTATCTGGCCGCACGTTATTATCTACGTTGCACTTCCATACAAACTTCCATGGACTCTGATGACAGTTATGAAACAACCTCAGAGGTCTTTCGCGAAATGGACACAGAACAGTTTTCTTCCAGCAGTCAAGAGAGTGCTAATCAAGACAGTGGGGAAATCCGAGAACTGTAGCCATCAACATTTTCGGGTCCCCGTGTGGACAATACAAATTTGGAAAATCCCGTGGCTGTGATGTCGGAAAAGATTAAAGGTATATCAAGCTTATCCTTTTTCAACACAGTTCACTATCAGAACAATCAATACTAATAAATTCACTCAAAGGGGAAGGCATTGGTTTTCTAGAACAGATAACACAACTATGCGGAGCGCTTGAGGATAAAGAGAGGGAACTGATGAAGTTTATGCAGCTATACGAACAGAAAGCGAATGATGTTGCCCAATACATGCAAGAGGTAGGCCTTTTAATCAATCTTCCTCGTTAAAGTTACTGTACTTTGATAGCTGATGTTTGTTTGGCATATCAATCATGATTGTGTAGCTGCTTTAATGTATAAAAGTGGCACCTCAGTTGTGGTGCATTTCAATCATTTCTCTTGGCTTCAAATAACCGATCAAGTTTCAATTCGTATCCACTAAGCAAAGAAACATAATGCAGGTACTAAACACTTCAAGGACTACAAAATACGGCAGTTCCTGTCCTATTGCAAGCATTCTTTATTTAATCCAGTCCTTAGTGTTTCGTTTCGTCTTGTCATGAGACATTATACGCGATCTACGAAAAGTAAAAACTTCCCCCGGGGGTGAATAAACCTAACACGTATTCAGTCGTACGACAAAAGAATCATGTTCTATCAGTAACTTCACTTTTATTACACAGTGTTTTAGTAGCCGTTAATGCTGTGTGAAATCTTATAAAAATTACAAAATCAAGCACCTTCAATGACTGGTTTAAGAAAAGCCAAAGGTTAGCAAACATTCATAAATCATGCGTTTCAAGGGCTTAAACAGCCTAGAATATAATTGTGTCCCAGACATTTAATCATGGATAAGTTTGCAGTTAGCATTAAATGATACAATCTCCTCGCATTTTCGTATTTCATGGCCCTGATATTGAAGCAGATTCGTTATTAGCACAACAAGGCTGTTATTTTTTTAACAATGTTTGACAAATGTCCGACAAAATAATTAAAGCAAAAACCTGTTTCCTATTGCCGACAACAAATTTATAAAGCGTGCAATCAGCGAAAACAGAATAGGGAGAATTACAACAGCTTCTTATTAATAATTAAAATCTACGGTAAGGATAAGCAAAAATTGCAACTTTCTTTCTAAGGAACTTGCTGGGAAACAGGCTGTTGTGTGCCTATTTCACCCAGCCGCGTTAATAGAAAGAACTCGCACCGGCTCTGCACACAGACGGCGGTTGGTGAATATGGTAATCACGCAACCGACGATTCGGTTGTTTGTGATAAAGTTTTGACAAAACCACACAGTCTCCGCATGAATTCCTGTATTGAGCATTGAAAATGCATATAACCAATGCATCTTTACTGGTTGTCCTACGATTGAAAGGAATCCTAAGGAATACAAACTAGGTAAAATTATTGTTAACGGGTGCATGTTCCGAGTCGGGACAAATAGTAAACTGATGCAAAAACGTTTTACTTAGGGACGTGGATATGCGCACTGAGAATAGACTGCAATTGGTTTGTTGGTAATTATGTGGGTCAGGTTGACTCATACTTGAAATGTGGAAGCACTGGCGATTCCGACGACTCATAAACCATGATGAGAAGAAAGCATTCCGTGGCATCTTTTAAGATAGCATATAGTTATGTTTTTTCAATCCATAGATTGGCTAATTAGAACGACCGGACGACACTATGTAACTTGTAGAACTAACAATGTTCCCAAAGAATAGTCAGGATAAAAACGACAAACTGGAAGAGAAGTGTCCGTAGATTTGAGTGTGTACTAGGAAACGCACCGAAATATTCGCATTCTCACAATCCTAAAACAGCCTAGTTACTACTAAGGAATAAACCGTTCGCTTGCATTTAATCTAGTGTAAAAATATATATGGCGCAGTACATCAGCAAGCCGTCATTCAATTTCTTTGAATCCCACACCTGGGACAATTTATGAGGAAAAATTATCTACGGCATTCCAGAAAGTGACATTGCATTATCAATTTTAAGTGAAGGTCTCTCAGTTTGTTTTATGATCGTTTACCAGGATGGGAAGGTAAATACGTTTGGGGATCTTTATGTTTAGGTATGCTATTCCGAGTTCCATCCGTAGGTGGCGCTACGTACGCTATATATTTCGAGCGAACTCAATGGAAGTTGATTATGTAAACTGGAGAAGACCTTAATATCACACAGATCCTCCCGTTATGGCGGCTTGAGCTTGTCGATATCACGAAGTTACCAATGAGCCACTCATATATGGTGTATCCAACATTTTGTAGTATGTGGGAAGGATAGAAAGATCGAAGCAACCAAGCGCTCTGCGGAGGATAACACGCTGACTTCTGATTACAATGCTTTTTTGCCTTACTTAGAATATATAAGACTATTTTATGAGCCAGTACACAAAGGTTGTACTACTAGAACTACCTGCAAGCTGCAGTTTATTGATTAGCAAAATATTATGAGTTAGCTTAAATTTATTGGCATTAAGCAGGAGTAGTTCCCCCGTCAATCATAAACGAGCCCTATCCAGGTCACATTGAAGGAACTTTTGATTTATAATACCGCTAGTCGATGGAAATATTTTGCCATCCCCAATAAGAATCAGCACCTTCATGCGATGGCGCTTGCGAGGTCACGTATAAACACTAGGAATAAACCTGGTCTCAGTACTGAGTTCTGTAGACTACTGCATTCCAACTCAATCTTGCCGAAAAGTGGTCCTCCAGCCCGCACTTGATGCCTACGTTGGCGAATAACCCTGCTGACCCCACCTAGAAGACAGAATTTCCGATTCCCTTGCTCATCAGCCTGTGAATCAGGATGCGGTGATCCAGGTGTAGGTTCTCGTTCTCGGTTCCACCATCAGCCTCTTCTGTGCAACTATTTGTTCCCATCATCGGGTTGCTGGATCATGACAGCTTATCGATGGAAGGTGTTCTGCCGCGGTGCTATTGTGTTGCACATTTTCAAGTAGGCCAAGAAAGTCGCGGTGACGACCATTTGCATAACTTTCGAGAACATAAGAAGGACAGTGTTTGGGAGATAGTTTGCATAGGTTTGAAATTGTAAAGCCTCTAAAAACTGGAACATAAATCTCTCGCCTCTTTACTGTCGGAACCCGTCGTACATTTAGGCTGCTTTAGAGTAATCATGCTAGTGACTGGGTTAGCTTCTCAACTGTACTCTTTACAGCCTCTGCTAAAGTGCTATAGGGTCCCAAGAATCTGTAATTATTCGTAAATGTATTCGCTTTGGCACACTTATTGGAAGGAAGATGACAGGCGTAGACCTTAGAGTCGAAAAGATGAATGATAATATTTATGGCGATGCCGGGACGTATTGTTGCCTAAAAGCATTGACCGTTTCGTCTGCGCTTTGTGCCCTCCAGCCTGTTTGATCGGTGAGTACATGATTTTATAAAGGTTTTCCCAAAGGGTCTGACGTGCCTGTACAGTAGTACCTTGTTAATATATAGTTTTATGGCTAAGAGTGGTTCTCAAGTATAAGTGTGCTAAAATGTCCGTGATGGATCAGGACGCTCTGCCAAGTTTTGGGCTCAGGTGTGGCCTTGTATGCGTGTCACGTTGCGTCTCTTACTACTATCTTATTCCGAGTTCTGCCTCTGGCAAATGATGGTGTCACTGCGGGAGGAAGAGGCTTGGTTTCCAACACTCTTTTGGCCATTTTGTTGAAGCTTTCAACAGACTCTTTCCAGAAGTTGTAAGGTAAGTGCTATTCAATAACTCCACTGCGCAAACCTTAACGTGTCTTGTTATGGCATGGAGGTGAGCGATTTTGTGATAGTCACTTTATTGTGTTCAGTTAAATGGCACGCATGGCAAATCTGTCTGAAAATCTGACGCATGCGAAACAACAGATACATAACTGAATACATCAATGGGATTTGAAGATTTATGAAGAAACATCAATAGGGAGTACCATTCAACACTGTGACATTCATACTGCATTAAAATATTGGTTTCTAATAGATGTTTGCAAGCTAGGTGTGGCCTTGATTTGCCTATTTCACATTGGAGATGATCCACCTTCTGTGATTTCGATGGCGGATGATACTGTAAGGTTTATTCAATAGAGAAGCAACAGTATAACTTTGTCAGTAAAGCTAAGTACTCCGCTTGCCAAGTGAGTTATATGGCATCAACCACAGCGGAGGAAAATACATGCGCACTAGAGAACCCCATCCAGATAATCAGCATTTTTGACCACTAAGTGGAAATCTTATGATGAAATTCGGTTATCTATCTGTAGCAAGAGTATACGAAGCCAGGGTTAGAGGTTCCGCAGCTTTCAGAAACCTGATTGAGACACCATAAAGGATAGACGACTTCCGTCAAGAGCAATTTGACCAGTAAAATATGTATTCCAACTCTCGTCCTTTCCTGCTTATAAAAACTGAGTAGAGGTAAATAAAATCAACTAAATCAACGGATGTTCCTTCGCTGAGTCGCCAGTTTGTGTTCACTTAAAGTACAATCGGTATAACATGCAATAATTTGCTAATGAGCTGTTCCAGAAGCTAAGACCAGCACCAAAAATTTGCGAATGAAGGACTGACAGGAATAAGTATGGATAATTTCTGTGAAGTCAAAAATTAGGGTGTCAGAGACAACCACATGTACACAATCCTTAAAGAAACAGATAAACTATATACTAGTTTTTAGCAACACAAGCCCGTACTGACGTTTTCAGAAAATTAAAAATATTTAACAGTACAACGACCCCGAATGATCAGATAATCTGCATCAGGGATGCGAATCGATTTTCAATCTCCACAATGCATGCATGCTGACTGTTGCTTCAGTGTGTTATCTGACGGTGCACAGGTTTACTTTCTCAGAATTGGTAGACCCTAGGAGAATATAAATACAAGACGAATAAAGATGACATCAAGTCCTATGTACATGGGTTTAAAACGGGCATAAATTGTGTATAAATTTTTATAACATCTTATGAAGCTTGCTTTGCTCAAGGCTGTTCATGCATATTGAATATCTTTTGTTGCACTAAAATGACACAGAATCAAGAGGGACTCTAAGAAAAGAAGATGTAAAAGTAGACTGCAATAAGAGTAATAGGAATATCAACGATGAAAACGGAGAAGCTTTTGTGTCAAGGGCGAAACGTGGCCACAATAAAAACCAACAAAAACCGATTTGTATTCAAAACCTTCTGAAATCATGCAATCCTAGTCGGTTCGAAGCATAGTACGAGATATTGAATGTAGAGATATGTTCAGTTTGCTTCTTCCCGCAGTGCACACTTGTTAA